TAGGCTCAGTCTCCAGCCGTCGGGATTTCGTGCGCCCGCGATACTCTCTCCCCTGACGGCTGGGCGCATGGGGTTCGAAACGTGTCGCGCATGTCCGTGACGTTTTTGTGTAATTAGCATATTATGACGTAACGGAAGTGAATTTTTCAGTGAACGGAAGTGAAATATCTGACAACAGCCGTAAAGGTTTTGCTACAAGGCGGGAAATTATGTGAAATGAAAACTTCGCGAAGTAGCGATATAATGTAATAGTTAGCGCTTTAAAAAAGAGAAAGGAATGGAAATTACCCCAAGTAAAACATGTGCAGGGTTTAATAATCCAAATGGATGTATTATCTGCCAGAAAAACGAGCAAAATACACTAGTGGCGCTGTTTGAAAAATAAGAGATTTGCCCGAGCCAGTATAGGAAGAATAACAAGGACATCTTTTCCAAGAACAATCTCTTTAAGAGCCTTTTGCTGTATTTCTCTAAATTCGTCCAAGCTAAACGACTTCAGAGCCTTCAAACAAGCACTTTCAAAGAGAATCTCAAACGACGAATTGTACGCCATTTTGTTACACTGCTGCCTGCTAATTTATTAATGATATATATATCTCAAAATATCGGGGGCCACTCGCTGATTGGTCAAGACTGACAATAGCGAACCTCATGCGCCCAGCCGTCAGGGGAGAGAGTATCGCGGGCGCACGAAATCCCGACGGCTGGAGACTGAGCCTAGCGCTCACCGGCCTCCACAAATATTTGAYCGCTCCGCGGTCGCTGTTCGCATGCTTGAGCTAGGAACTAGGAGCCCGCGTTGGTACTTACGTCAAGTATTTATCAGTAAATCATATGACTGTCGCATGGTGCATAACCTGGTTCCAGAGGTTGATATTTTCTCTTTTCGCTATTGTTTTTGTCGGCGCGAAGTACCGTAATTGAACCGTAAGTTGATTTTCACTCGGCGGCCTTACGGCCTCGATTACGGCGCTTCGCGCCGACAAAAACCATGGCGAAGAGAGAAAATATCMAACCTCTGGGGCCAGGGTACGTGATGCACTTACAAGCCAGGATCGACCTTGATGTTGTGTAACTTTCAAGTCCGGCCTGAACCTGGACCTTGCGCTTACGGCTCTTGCCCCCCGATGTTTATTAAAATGGCCTTTAGCTAAACCTATGCCCTAAAACCCTTGATTTGTTTACTTGTAAATTTTGTTTTAATCACACATTAATTGATTTATGAAACATCATTTCACAATAGAATTTCTCAATTTTACTTCGTTTATTTTCGTGCAACGCCTCTAGAAATTTCCTGGTTAATACTGGACTAGACGCCCCTGGGGCGTGAAGTCGGACTAGCTATTTTCGAAAATTGATAGACACGAGTGAAAAGATTATGATGTTTTATACAACTTTTCAGTAAAATAAGACGTTTTTGATTGGTTGGCTTTCGTGTGTTATCAAAGTATAGATACACGGATTACGTCAAAACTAATTGTTTGTTGTATAAAACAGATAGATCTCATTTTTCCGTGTGTGTGTACTCTAATAGACACACAGATGACGTCTAAATGTAGCGAGAACAACAGTCACGCACTCGACTGCGTCTCGTGCGTACTTTTTTGTTCTCACTACATTTTGACGTCATCTGTGTATCTATTAGAGTACACACGCACGGAAAAATGAGATCTATTTGTTAAATA